AGGTTTTACCACAATCTGCTCACCACCTGCTCTGTGGGACCGAGGGAGAGGGCTTTACTCTTTTCATACCTCACTCTCCTTCAACACACAAACACAGATCACTGAGGTGTGCCTGCTCAGAGCGCACAGTTAACGCAGCATCCCCCACCCAGCCTCTTTCTGAAGGCTGAATGAGCTGTAGCATGACTGGAGCGATGACTGCACACACGGGCCGTGCTCATCAACAAACCAAACACCTGCTTCCTGTCTGGCTGCACATGCTCAGTAGGCCCCCAGGGGAGCGCTGTGTGTCTGCCTTGCTGCTGCTGTGTGGACTGAGCCATTCCTCATTAGACCCCATCTGGCATCAGTGATGGCTTCACTATAACGTGTGCTGGGTGACACTGAACCTACCTAATCTGTGTTTTCTCTTCATACCTCAGAGCTTCTGGAAGATTCCACCCACAGCCTCTTACTCTGCAAAACCTGCTAGAGCTGATCCTGAAGTGAAAAAGATCCTGAGTCTCAGAGTCAGATTTACCTTCACCCCCACATCTACAGAAAACAGTGCAAACACTTCTCGTTATAACAGCTTCCTCCAGAGAGATATCCACTCTGCGTACACACCTAGGAACATATAATCAATGAAAATACAACGTGTCTCAGTGTATACTGACATAATGTCAAACATGCATTTAACCAAATATCAGAATTTTAAGGGGAGGACCCACAAGCATGATTTGTGACATCTCAAATATTAGTGTGATGTAGAAACGTGAAGCCACCAGCGCACAAACACTGATAATGGACTTTACAGTGAAGCAGCGGAGGACATCTTGCTGGGTCCAGGCAGGAAAAACTTTTTAGAAATGAACACAATTTGCATATTCAAAGGGACTTGGATACACAAAAACTAATTAAATGACAATTTCAGTGGTTGTATATGTTTTAGCCAAATAATTATTACACTGCGATTCCCGTCAGATTATCTAAAATAGCCGGCATTTCTACCTTCCAGGAAGTTTCCATTAATTTTAGTATGATATTAAAATTAACTTGCTTAAGATTTATTTATTTGTTGCCAAAGTTATTTTTAATTGTGTGGCAATGACTCAGCAGTTTAATTTATCAGTTCAGCTGTTGGTGTTGTAATCAAGAAAGTTCCAACATCTGAGAAACTGAGCAGCAGCCTTTATAATCTAGTAAATTCTAATTTTTACTCATTGTTTGTTTTGTTTTATTATAAGAACACAGCTGTCAATGTGTGACTCAATGTGAGTGTCAATTTCCAGCTCTCTGAAAGCAAATTTTTAAACTGCAATGAAATAAATAGCAGACAATGGATGTTTGGAAGGTAGGATATCACTATAAAACTTATGGTAAGCTTTAGAAAATAGTCAACAATCATGTGAACTAAGGCTTAATATCTTATTTTTTATCTCTCTTATTTCATTATTGATGAAATGTATCTTTTGGTCTATAAAATGTCACACAAAAAAGCCAGTTCCCAGAGCCCATGTTTACATGTTTAAACATCTTGTATTGTCCAAACAACAGTGCAAAATGAAGAGATATTTAGTTAGTGAGTTAGTTATCATAAATAACTATAATAACTATATTAAGACTATAATAACTGATCGATTATCAAATTAGTTGTTGAATTTCCTGTCAGATTAGACTAATACATAATTTGACAAATTATTTTAGCTCTAATGGGAAGTCTATGTCATTTGTAGTTAATGGAATAAAAAAAGCTGAATCATGGTCATTTAAAAATGACTAAGCATCTGCATCAGATGTACCGATACAGGTACAGAAATATGCCTTGAGGGTATAACAATTGACTGGATAATATAAGATAAGATGCTGCTTTCTGGTGTTACAGGAAGCTGTATCAAACATGCCTTTGCAAGTGAGATCTCTGTGTATCAGTGACAATGCTGCATGCGTTGGCATCACTGTGACGGAGCCCTGTGGAATAGCAGGAAAGTTCACAGCAAGAATCTCAAGCAGCATGGAGCCTACTCCCCACCGAAGACATAAAAAGAACAAAGCCGAGCCTATGCTACATAACTGCTGTGGTTAGATGGCAGGTGGAATACAAATGGAGGTTTCACAGCGAATATCATCAGCTGCTGCTTTGTTCTGATATTCTGTTTGTGTTCAATTTTCCGTCAAGAGGCTTCCACCAAAGTGTTTTCTGACATTTTTATTCATACCCAGCAGCCCGTGCATGACATGTGGTTGGGGAGATGAGTCACAGAAATACATCTCACATATGATGCAATGTTGGATGTATTGCACACACACGTACACCTGCCATCACCACCACCCTCATCATCATCACTACCAGAGTGGGCAGGGAGGGAAAATACACAGGAAGAAGTCTGTTTGGTGCTACACAGTAGTGTGTGCAATCTGTTAACAGTGTGGGCTGTTCCTCTCAGATTCTCAGTATGGGCTCAAATGGAGAGCTTACTCTCATTCATTACTGTATTAAAGGCAGCACAACAAACATATCCACCTGTAGTACTATTGCTATGACAATGTATACCATGAGCCATAGATAATACTAATTCTTTGATATTGTTGGGTGTGTTAGGCCATTGGGGGCAATGTTTATGGTAATATTGGATGATTTGTTGATAAAAAGTTGAATAGTCAGATATTTAATTCATTGGATTAGATATGACATTCCTGTTTGGTTACTATAATTATAAATTACTTAATTTTCCATAAATTGTAATATATCATTACGAGTATTGATACTGCAATATAAAATTACACAGGCTAAACTGTGATAAAAGATTTTATCAATTTCACCAACCACTAAGCAGTACATGTATACTAACACAGCTAACAAAGGACACTAAAGAGACTTTTTAATTAAAAAAATAAAAAAGAATAAAGAGCACTTTGTTTTGGAACCAATCCACAGTCCTGAGCTCTGAGAATAACCCTTCAGACTGGGTCAAGAATGCTAATTCCATGTTTGACATACCCAGAGCTTACAACTTAGAGTAGTGGACATTATTCATCTGCACAATGTTTGGTGTGCGTCTTTAACTCATTTCATGTAAAGCACAGCAAATTATGTGATTGTGATGCTTTGCAAAAAAAAAAAAAAACAGATCATCAAAGTATCTTTGTGGACCTACTCCACAGTTTTTACTGTTTGATCGTTCAGTGCAGCTGGAGTTGTCCACCTGCTCACGGTGCAGAAACAAACACAGACAGAAGCGAGCCAGACAGATAAAGTAGATCCATGGACAGAGGCTTATGTTTACGTGCCACTTTATATTGTCCGCCTGTTCAGCAGTTGTGCATCTCCCCACTGCGAGCTATTTTTTCAATCTCAGCTTAGAGGCTCCTGAAATATTAATTTCTGTGTGATACTCAAAGATGACCAGCATTCTTCTTCTTGGGTGACTTATTGTGCACTTTTTTTCTTTTGCAATTTTATAGAGACAGACATTAGAATATAAAAAGATAGTGGAGGCCACAAACCAAAAAAGACAATAAAAGAGGAATCCAACCACAAATAGCTGAGTCAACTACAATAACTAATAATGTAAATATGGGGCAGGAGTTTAAACTCAGTGAATGCACTCTTCGACCAGGTAAATAACATACAATTGGGAATTATGAAACAACTCACTGCCTGTTTCACTGAAAAGTTGTGGTAAACACTTGTAGTTTGTTGCATAATTTAAAGCATCTGTGGCATCTTGGATTCACATCAGTACCAGCAGATTCTAACGGTGACCAGTTTTCAAAAGCTACAAACTATTCACAGCAAAATTTCAAACCTACAAGGGTCGGAGGAATCCAAAGAGAGTTTAAAGCCACGTCATTCTTAAAGTAATTAAGGACTCACTGAAATCTTTCTTGAAATTTCTTCAAAGCATAAGAAAATTCCTAAATGGAAATGGGCTCTTTTCTAATTAACTGCAGTTATTTGTCCTCAGATGTGATGTGTATGGACCTCAGCTTATATATTAGTCATGTAAGAGGACTCTGCATCCTCATTAAAATCAGTTTAAATATCACTCTCCACTACAAACAGCAAGACCTTTCTCAGATGAAATCTTCTTTTTCAAACTCACCATATGGCTTGACATATTCTTCCATGTACTGCCATGCAAATGCTATGCTCGACTGACCCAGTGAAATGTCAAAAACCCATTATAAATGTGGCATTTTAAAGGCCACTTCCAGTCACTGTAGTCAGGTGCAAATGGCAGGAGTTGTGAGTTAATGCAAAGTGTCTGTCTGGCTTGCTTTAAAAATTACAAGACTGCAAACAAAAGATTCAACCAAAACCTCTTTGTGCATATTCAAAAACATCAAACAACTATGACCTCAGGTTACCTCAGGAGTATCTAATATAAAATATATTTTATAAGGTCAGTCAGGCTGAGTATGCAATAAGCTTAGCCTGGATTCAACAGGTCAAACCACTTGCTCACTTGACCAATAAAGGCTTTGTGTGTACTAAATGCAACTGAATAACAACAGAGAGAGGATGGCATGGTGACAGCATGGATAAAAGCCTAAAGAAGCCTTATTTATTAAAAGTATCATAGAGTATGGGAACCCCAAATTACAGTTAATTGTGCTCATTAAAGGTCTACCACCCAGTTGACTCCATGAGGAACAATAGGTGTAGTGAGAATGGGGGATGTGTCTGTTTTGGGTGTAATAGTCTGACACGTTGCCAGAAATCTCCTCATCCTAACCGACCAGTAACAACACTGCGCAGTGATGCAGGGTTTATATTTGACTTCCTCTACAAACCGGGCGTTTATAATTGGAAGAAAAGGTGCTTCTCTCTCAAAACAGGCAATTTTCTGGCGACTATGTTTTCCCCCGCTTACTGCAGCACTCACAACAGTCTGCACACCCACCTCCCTCCGGCTCTGTAACTTGATGAAAACGCCACAAATAGCGCAATAAAACCCCTCCAGTCCGCGTTTAGGTCACCAAACAGACGCATGAGTGTTAAAATTCACATCGCTCACCTTTAGAAAAGCTTCCTGATCGCTGGCGTCTGGTGATGATGGGGATGCTGCTGTATGTTTTTCTTCCAACACCAAGAAACGAGAAACTCCCACCTACTCAGGGGCCGTCTGACAATTAAACACCTGCCTGAAGGCTGCTAAGGGAGCGTCAAGTAATGTTTTAACTTCCATAGCTTGTTTGTAATTTTAGGATATATCCTACCAACGGATTACTGGCCCCATCATGTATAATTATCTGACCATCTATCCAAATTAGAGTGATTCCCTTTGCTGATTATTATTATTATTATTATTATTATTATTATTATTATTATTATTATTATTAAAGCTAAAAGGAA